TTTTTTTATTTTCAAGTTATCTGCTTCTTTTTTCTTTTTTTTTGAAATAGTTTAAATTATTTTTAAAAAAATTTTATTTTAAAGTATTTATTACTAAAAAATTTACTTTTAAAAACAATTAATATAAAATTAGAATTAAATAAAAAATACATAGTTACTATATTATAGTATAATAAAAAAGTTTTAAAACATTTCTTCTGTCATAAGTTATAAAACATTTATTTAGTATTTAAAAATGTTTGCAATTGTTGCTTTTGAAAACACTTGCAAAATAGGTTATGTTCCGTTGAAATGGCTTGAGGGAGTGGATGCTAATAATCTCTAGTTAATGATTACAAATCATACATCAGTAAAATGCCATTGGCCACCATTCAAAAATCCAAACACTGTCTCTAAAGCAAAAAATAACAGCCATGATGCAGAGATAAATTGGCCGATATATAAGGCAAGAGTGCTGGGATTAGCTGGTAAATTTATTTTACATATTATTTATTTTCTAAATTTATGTGACTTTTTTTTTACCCGTTTTTATTTGGATACAACTTTTTAGACTGTTTGAACAATGCTCGTCAAAAAGCTAAAATGTCAGAAGACACATCCAGTTTAGAAAATGTATTTGAAGAGAGAATAAAAGAATTTCTAGGACTTTTCAAGAAAAACAAAAGAAGACGGTAGGCATTTAATGACGTTTTTGTTTCGTAAAAGTTTTGCTCCGTAATTTTACTTAAATAATTAAATTTATTATTTTAAAATTTCAATAAGTCTTTTACTATTATTTATTTTCAAACATATTTACTACCAACAAGGCTGCAACAACCACGAGTTGGAAGTTACTGGAAGTGGAAAGACTAGGGTTAGAGCAAGATAACGATTAATAGGTGACTTAAAAGATTGCAAACTATATGAATCAGGAAAAAAGGAAGAAGGGATAGAATTTCAAAGAACTGTTTGAGGGGGAAAACTAGTGGAAAAATAATTTTTTGAGCACTTAGGAACAGTCACAGTGAAATGATGAGACTTAATTAAATGACGCGTAACACAATAATGAATTTTAGTAGTTAGCAAAAGAGAAACTAGCTTTTGAAGATGAATTAGAAAATTGAAGAAAGCAAACTCCAATTCAAAAATATCTTCTTTAGTTGTGAGTAAAATGAAAGGAACTCATAAATCATGTATGATAATAAATTTAGTAGTATCATAACACATATTCTCCTGATCTGGAGAGCAGGGTAATGCCAAGAAGGGCGTCCAGTTGCAAATTTACTTTGACTCCATTTCATATTTAAATAAAGAATGGTTTGTAAATGGCCCATGGCAGACACAGCTAATGACTTTCTATATATATATATATATATAACTGTATTTATATTATCAACTATGAATCTAGTAGTCATATATGTATTATGTAAATATTATATTATATATTATAGTCAAACATGTATGTTTATTTTACTATAATATTTATGTAATGATAATATAATATTTATTTATTGAAATAAGTAGACAATTATTTTACAAATACAATACAAATGCACACAATATTATAATTATATGCACATTAAGTAAATATGTGTTGAAGTTAATAATATATTAAAGACGCGCTCAAGTTTTTTTTTTTTGAAGTCTTAAATTTTTGTCATTTTTATATTGCTTATTTTAGAGTGACAAAGATCAGTTACGAGAGAGTAACAGAAAATGAGGAATTTGAAAATGATCAATTGTATAGTGTAGAACCAAATTAATTTTTTTTTACCAAATTACTTTATTTGAATTTTATAGAAATTTATGTTATATTTACTTTACCTTCGGACATATTCAAGATTATTTTGTATTTTAAAAGAAAGAAGATGTTGGTAAATTTTGCTCTTGTTCAAAAGCCACAGCAAGCCTGCAAGCTCCCATCAAACAACAAATCCAGAGTTTGCGATCAGTTGCAACAGTGAGTTTCATTATTTGCGTGTACACCAGGATTTATTTATATATACATGGTGGCCACAGTCCTGGAATGTCCTGGATTTTTATAAGTGTCCCGGAATGTCCTGAATGTATTTTATAAGTGTCCTGGAAAATTTTTTTCAAAAATGTCCTGCAATATCCTTAAAAGTTTTTTTTTTTACCAAATAAAATGAAATAATATTCAAGTAAAAATAAATATTTTTACACTATAAAGACATTAATTTTAATGTTTTTGAATAAATTTTTAACAAGATAGAATTATCAGCTAGTTAGTATGTATTATTTAATTTTGGTTGACTTTTAAAATATACTATTCAATTTAGTTAACAGCCAAATTATTTCAAACTTGTAGCAACTCTAATGTTAGCATAATACAGGGCAGCCACAGATCAAGGAAATGTAATTGCAAAAGTCAACGATTTTATAAATTTTCTGGGAAAGTAATTGAAAGTTCATAGAACTTTTTAAAATAATAATTATTTTATTTTGCAAATGATATTAACCAAATAATGGAAATTAACAATTTCCATTATTTGGTTTATTGTTCTTACATGTCTGACCGCCATACATCAAATCACTCTGGACACATGTGTTGTATATATTTCATTTACTCTTTAATTCTTGCTTTAAGATAATTTTCTGAAACATGGCGCAGGCACAGTACTAAAGCATCAAACCCTGATGCTCCCAATCGTAACTTCAAAACTATTATTCTTTTTATATTTTGTTTTTACCTTTATTTTTAGCTTATATCTTTTTTTTTATCTTTGTTTTTGTTTTATATCTTACACCTTTCATCAAACCAACTCTTACCAGTTTCTTTAAAGGGTAATCAACAAGTGTTAGAACCAACCTGGTTTCAGCCACTGACCAATTATAAACTTTTGACCAATTATAAACTTTTTACCCCCCTTTTTGGTTAACAAATTACCATCAGACACACTTATTGTTAAACTGGTAAAAGTTATGACAATATTTGTTTAATATCATATAAAATGTCCAGGAAAATGCAACAAAAAGTCCTGGAATGTCCTGGAATTTAACTTTTAAAATTGTGTGGCTGCTATGTATATAGTTTACTATAATGTTTGGAAAAATTTTTAATAATATATTTTATAAAATTTTCTAAATATTTATTTTTTTATTAAATAATTTTCATTAAAATAGTTATGAAAAACTGCATGCGTGGAGTCGTGCATGTTATACTGTAAAATAAACTTAAATATTCAATTGTCGAAACGATTACTGTTTTTTTAGTTTGTGTTAAAAAAAATTATCAAGTGTATGTTAATTAAATAAAAAAGTGATATGCTAATAACTAGAAAAAATATATGTGCAATTAGCTTTTATTACTATTTCGATTAGCGATGAAAATTCCAATTACTTCAACATATGGAATAGTGAAGAATTTTTACCTCCTATTGCTTCAACTGCTGAAAGGGCAATATCGCTGTCAATATTAAGTTCTTCTACTGCAGGTAGAAGAACTTAACATTAATTAAATTCTCTATAGTAAAAATTTAACTGTTTAGTTAAATATTGTTGTATTCTAATGTAAATTTTTTATATCAGTATTTGTCCTGTATTTATAATTTTTTTAAATATGAGCCATTTCTTGAATGGGCTATTTACAAATCTTTTAAAAATTAATAATAAATATATCTTTTTGCTCTGAGTTATTTATTGTTAAACCCAGGGTTTCCACAGTCTTGGACATTTTTAGTCAAATATCCAGGAAAAATTAAAAAATTGTCTTGGAATTTTCCTGGAATGTCTTGGAATTCTGATATATATTTTCTGTGGCATCCCTGTAAACCTACAAATTACAAATCTTTAACTGAGTTATTACGTGGTTAAAGGTTGTAATTACTTTTTTTTTATTTAGGCGCCAGTTTAAGTCAAACTGCTAACCTGCAAACAGTATTTAATTTAATAGCAACTTTGGTTAGCAATGTTAAGGAAATTAAAAAAACTCTAAAGGTGCATACATCACTA